CCGTGTTTGTGGTGATGGTCCTCGTGGTGGCCGTGGTGATGCTCCTCGTGATGGCCGTGCTTGTGCTCGTGTCCGTGGTGATGCTTATGCTCCTCTTTGTGCCCATGCTTGTGATGCTCCTTGTGATCGTGTCCGTGGTGATGGTGATGTTTCTCGGTTTCCTTATGACTGTGATGATGATGATGCTCGTTAACGTGCTGGTGGTCGTGGTGATGATGGTGCTCATTATGATGATGATGCTTGTGATGATGATGATGCTCCGAATGGTGCTTGTGCTCCTCATGGTGTTCGTGCTTCGAATGGTGATCATGCCCATGATGATGCTTGTGCTCTCCATGATGCTTATGCTCGTGACCGTGCTTGTGGCCGTGCTTGTGGTGGTGTCCATGTTTGTGCTCGTGACCATGGTGATGCTTATGCTCAGACTCGTGCTTATGTCCATGATCATGATGGTGCCCGTGGTGGTGATGCTGATCATGATGGTGCTTGTGGTCCTCGTGATGTTTATGCTCCTCGTGATGATGATGATCGTGCTTATGCTCGTGCCCGTGGTGATGCTTGTGTCCATGATGATGGCCGTGCTTGGCATGATGGTCGTGATGCGAATGGTGGTCGTGATGATGATCGTGATGATGTCCATGGTGATGTCCATGCTTATGGTGGAAGGAGTGGGATTTGTGGTGGAATGCCCTGTTTAAGTCGTGAACTCTACGTTGCGATTCAACGACTGGTGGGGTCACGATGGTGACGTGACCAACCGGCGGCGAGGCCTCGGTTATCCGCGTGATGATCTGCTTCGGTTGCGGAGTGATTCGTGGAACGATGCTGGCACCGAGACCCGCGCCAAAAGTCGTCTCGAGAAGCGGAAGCGGAGTTTGGCCATTTAGCGGTAACAATGGCTGCGGGAAGGTTAGCCCGAGATCGGCCAGCTGTCGTTTCTTCTGGTTTCTTTCGGCCGGCGCGATAATGCCCAGCAGATTCTCGACGGGCACGAACGGTCGCGGCGGCTGCAATTGTCCCGGCAGCCTGCTGGAGCCGGCCAGTTCTTGCTTGGCCGCCGACACCTGCGGTCGAATCTCATCTCGTGTTTTAGGTTCCTGGCCGGTCGCTGCTGCCAGCAACAGACCGACGACCGGAAACCACGCCTAGGATGACAGACGAGCTCGGTAAATGGAACCTGTTCGTGGAACGGCGATGTCTTTTGGATTGTTACTCTAGCAGCAACTTATCGTTAACGTTAAACTTTCATTATCCTTAATTATAATAATTATAGTACATAAGGATATGGCGTCTTGGGTATAATTATTTATTTTTATAATTCTATTATAACTTTGCGGCTCTCACAATCCTGAATTACAACGATTCAGATTATGGGCCTATTGCCCGTTGTCTATTCGCATTCTAAATAGAGAGATAGTTGAAACGACCCGAATAATGGGCGTTTAACTTTCAATAGATATAAAGCGTATCGTATCGGGCGGTCAGTTTTGTCGCACACACGTGTACGCGTGCACGCTCGAGCGGAAGAGCCGGAGATAATATCCAGTAAATCGTCGGGGAGTCGTTTTATCGCGCTTCGGCCTTCTTGCTGCGGATCCCCCGCAGGAAGAAAGGGAGAGAGATCGCTCGGCTAACGAGAACCGAAATCACATCTCGAGCCGTTAGGAAAATCAGCGTGGTCAGCTGGCGGTATGTTTGCCGCAAGAAATCAATTAATCACGCTCGAATATAATCGCGCCGGTGATTTATTCGAATTTCTAGTAGGACTGACGCGCGTAGGAATAGGGAATCAGCCGAAGACGATATCAAATTACATTCTCAGAAATCCGCTTTTGCGATTCACCCGCGGGATTGAACTCGATTCGAAATTGGCGAAGGTAGATTGAATCTGTGATGCGATTTCGCGCTTTATCCTTCTCCGGTTTTATTTAATTGAGCGGTTTTCCAAACGCGGTTTCTTATACACCATAGACGAGTCGTTTCGAACTTAGCTATTATTAATGTTCGGAAACTTAGATTATACTATGGAATGTGTGGTTTCGTAATCTGCGCTCGGAAACTGTATCATGCTATTTTAACACGAGATGAGTTTTATGCACAGCAAATTCTATTTCAGATTTTATATTATTGAATTGATTACGTTATCCAGAGCTCCGAAAATAAGAGATTATTAGAAGTGTGATAAGACGCAATTATAAATTTAACCGACCCGAATGCAATTATAAATTCAAAAATACCCAGTGAATCGTATTCTCTCGAGTCTAATGTAAACTTCAGAATGAGTAATATCGCGAAATGAGTGTCAATTGCAATCGAGCGCCAGGCTGAATGATATGAAGAAGCTTTCAGAATTATTACTGAATGCTCTCGATGCGGGGATAATTAAACGCTATATCCAATTGGAATAGAAAGAGTCCTGTCGAGGGGACTTGGGAAAGTCGGAATCTCGGTTTCCCTCCCCAGCGTCTCTCCTTCCGCAATATCTCATTCCACGGCGTCGCGACACCGTCGCCTCCGCCGCCGCTAATTTCCTCGTTCCGCAGTAGCTGCAAGCTGGCGGCGGCGTCCGCGCGAAGCGCTGATATATTCTTCTTGAAATGCAAATGTTCCGGCGCTTAATAACTCGGGATTTAATCAGCGACAAAGCAATTTATACAAAAGATTCCGGATGCCGGCGACGCCCGACGTCGACTGGACGCGGGCGGCGCCGCCGGTCGCGGATCAGAAACGGCGAGACGTGTTTTGCACGTGGAGGGGCGGTCCACCCCGTCTCTCCCCATTACACAAACTTCGGCCACGTTTTTAACCGAGTTAACGCGACAACACTGCTGGACGCGAGATCGAGTTTCCGAAACGCGAAAATTTGCGGGCGCACGTCAATTAACCGCGAATGCTTCATCAGCCGCACCGATGACGAACGTCCTAATGACTTTTATCTGTGACATTTGTACGTCACAACTGTCCGCAAACTCGCGCCGGGATATATTCGGCCTGAAATCCAGACGGATGTCAACGATAAATTTGGAGCTTTGTATCACGTAGTCGCCCCACGGTCGTGATATTAAAAGCTGAGTAACGCGTGTGTTAATCAAAGTAATGGAAAGGAGGCGTGCGTGGCGAGGGGAAGGCGGGTCTTTATCTCTAAAGATGAATTATTCTCGCCGATGGGTCCGTATTCGACGCTGTGTATTATGTACGCAGTACTTTAGAAACGATTACAAACTTTGCGCACCTCATTCACTCGGCCCCTCAGCCACTTCACCGACTAAAGAGAAACGTTCCGGGGGAACTGCGAGGAACTTACCCACGTAACCATGTCGGCGTTATCACGGTGGGTGCAGCCAGCGAACAACTGGATGCCAAAACTGAGTGACTACGTACTTTTATAGAGAGCACCTAACTCACGGTACTTTCTTCCGTGCTAAGCACCAATGTCGTTTACGACCCGCTGCCTAATGTTTTAATTGTCGTCATAATGCCCGCCGGACCGCGACCGGTCTCGATCGCTATTGCAACCGTTGAAATTCATTCACGCCCAATGATCGTTTCGAGCTTATTTCCGCCGCGCTGGAAGAGCTTCGGGCATGTGCTCTCCGATCACACCCTCGATCCGATGATACAAGAACCACGCGTCGCAGCAGTTCTCTAGCGAAACGCACGCGCGACGCAACGTGACATATTTTATCCGAGTTAATTTCATACCGAAGCACCGTTATTTTTTCCGCATGCAAAAGTATCCGTATAATTTCTATGAATTTTTATGCACTGTTTTTTTTGTGCAGCGGTAATAAAGCGTACGGCGGGTACATGTCCGAGTGAGGACGCATGCGTGTATGAATAAATATGATTTTTTTTGCATTTACATTTTTGGCGATATTTATATCGCACGTATAAAAATTTACTCCGCGAAATAACCGGGCGAATTACAGCCGCGGCAAATTATCCCGGTTTAGGAGGAAGTTATAGTAGCTCTTAATTACCGGAAACAAAGCGGACGGACGCGAAAACGCGATCGGCGTTTCAAGGATCTATTACCTGCAGCCAGCGCGATTGTCGTAATTTTACTCGGTTCTGTAATACTAATCAAATTTTCCGCTTTCACGTCACTTTCATATCCGCCCGCGTCCCTCGAGGGCAATGACAGCACTCGCGCGGCATAGACTGTTCAATACGCATATTAAACGTGTGCTGCGCGATCGACCAGAAATGAAGCAAGCGATGCGTACGACTGAGCTAAATTAGTAACGTTTACTCAATAAGGCGAATTCTGTAGTGTCTTCCTACGTCACTCTCATTGACACGAGCGCTCGGGGACGACCATTAATATTAATGCATCCGATAATGTACTTACGACGTGATGGATTAAGCAAACTTCGTCTCAAGTTATCACGGGGTAAAATTAATTAAAAGCACGTGGCAGCGGCAAAATATATTTTAAATATATTAATGCCCCTATTTACCTCGAACAAAATGTTATTACACAAAGAAACATTTATTGACACGCTAGATTATTTATTGTAGTGGCGTATACCGTACATTTAATTCTCGCTTACAGTACGTACCGAAGTTAATACGCGATCACTCGATATCGCATATTTCGCGCGCAGTTTATTACGGTCGAATTAATTTATCTGCGCCAATTATCTCACGGAACATCGTTATTAGCGATCAAATAATACGCATAAACGAGCGCCGTGCTTTGAGAATGGTTTCGAGATTTCGAAAGTATTCGCCTATAGCCGAGAGTTAAATCGAGGGCATTAAAATTCTCTAATAGTCTGGATTATTGTCAATATTCAGCTAGTGTTTCCTTATCGCGGATATCACGATGAAACGTTCTCGTGAAACGGCAGTAAAGATAAACACCCCGAACGTGGCAACGTTATGCTCGTGCGGCCAATTGCGATGCACACAACTCTATAGTTGTCTCGTAAAACACTCATTCACCGTCGAGCTCCGTGCTCACTCGTCGTGTTCATAAATTCGTTGATAGTCTCCATTTCGTCGTCCCACATCCGATTTCTTCCAAAGGCCATTACGGTGATTCTCTCTGCACGCTTTATTCTGCTCCTTAAACTCCGGGATGCTGCCGTTCGTAAATTTTACGTCATTTTGAATGATACACATATTTTAGAAACGTTTTCCCCTTATTCTACCCTTTCGTATATGTCAGTCGGTAATTCTTCGAATCTTGATTGAAGTCAGAATTCAGTAAAGAAATTCGTAGACTTCATTTGGATAATCGATAGAGTTGATCGCGAGATTCTTTTACCTTTCCTTTTGTACCTCTTGCATTTGAGAAAATTTTCCTAGTACAATTCTCTTACAGTCTGTAAACTCTTATCGTACCTCGCTCGAGGCTCAGTGGAAAGTAATCTAAAATCTGTTAAAGCCAATATATCTATATGGTTCCCCCAATACCCTCTTACGGTACTCGTAAATCTAGATTGTACACGATTTCGACTTAGTAGGAACTTCTGCGGGCTTTTAGTACACCCAGTTTCCCGATTAGGGAAACGTAATATTTGTTTAATGCACAGCCAGATAGTGACTGCGCCGAAGGGTGGAACGAGAAGAGGCTCGGAGCAAAGCCGCGGTGGGGCTGGCATTATTAGTCGTGCCGCAAGCTTTCCTCGTCTACCGCCTCCTCTCCATCTTCGAAGCTGTAGCATTACCAGCGGTCTGGTAATTATTTCCGCACGATTTTCCCGGCGATATGGCGCCGCGTCGAAATTTAGGAAACAAACGAGATCTCGGAGTCGATCGAGACGTTCGTTACGGTTTAGCTCTTCGCGCAATTCGGGTCGTTCCGGCGCAGCATCCTTTAGAATTGCACGGCTGCGAGTGTAATTACAGAGCGAGTTACACACCGACGGGAGAATTTCTCATAAATGCGACAGGAGAAATTTTTCGACTTGACATCTTTGCTGGCGTTATCGATTTAAGCATTAGCGTCGCTGCTGTGATAATAGAACGGCCATTTATGCGCGCTATCAGCTCCGGTGCCATTAGTTTTTTCTTCCTTCTGTTGCCCCGATCATTACAACGTCGACGTTACACAATCGCGTCTGCGAGATTAATTTTCAATATTTCGCGGGCGCGTCATTTTCCCCCGAAATATTCATTTATTTCGAACGCGTGATTAGTTGGGTGTATCCATTGTGTGTTTCGAGCGGAATGATAATCCATGGAGAATAGAGAAAAGCCTCATAACTCAGTACATACAATAATCGTGACAGTAGGCGTAACGATAATAATGACAGCGCTGTAACTCATGCGATATGCATCGCCGGCAATTTTGCATTTCGCGGTTTTTGAATTTTCTACGCGCGCTTCTTTTTTGCGGCCCGTTATCTGTCACGTCTCGCTGATGCCCTGAATTTTTCAAGGCAGCGTCGCGTTGCGGCATCGAGCAACATAAAAAAGTATGTGCATTTTGTTGCGAAAATTAGCGGTGCGTGAAGTTTGTTTTGCGCGTTTAACGAAATTGGGTTTTTGACATGTTATTCCGTGCATGTTATTTGCGGAATGGGATAGGGGGCAAACAATTCGACGTGTAATTGGGCGCATTGGCAAATGCACCAATTGCTTTAAAAATCAGTCGGAGGAATTTATGACTACACTATGAAAAATTTTCATCGGATGAATCAATTAAATGGCGTTTCCGATGGTTAATTTTTCCGAGTACGTTTTCCGATTAAATCATGGATACAACCGATGAAATTTGATTGAAAAACCGATCGTATTTTTCATCGGATGTATAATTTGATCGGATATATTATTATGTAATTAGATTGTCCGATTATATAATATTTAATCGGGTATTTTTCTCGGTGTACGAAAGTCTTAATTTATGCGCACTATCAGCTCCGGTGCCGTTAGTTTTTTTCTTCTTTCTGTTGCTGCGATCATTGCAACGTCGCCGTTACACAATCGCGTATGTGAGATTAATTTTCAATATTTCGCGGGCGCCTCATTTTACCCCGAAACATACATTTATTTCGAACGCATGATTAGTTGGGTAGGTATATCCATTTTGTGTTTCTATGAATGATAATCCACGGAGGATGGAAAAAAGCGTCATAATTATATCGGGATGAAAGATATTTAGAATTGTGGGAAACGGAAACGTGAAAGTCCATTTTGAAACGATACATTTTATCCTGCCTCTGTCTCGATTAAACGGACATTTTCTTTTGTTCATTTCTGCAAGTACCTGACGCCCGAAAAAAATGTTCGACTTCTTTTTAATTACTCCGTACAAATGGTACTGCTTTGTAAAAACGCAAAGCACGGCGCAGTGTACTTGGAGAATGTTTCATTTTTTCGAGGAAAGAATAAAAAATAAAATTGCTGCTTCTTTCGTGCTGCTGGTGAAGATCAGCGACCGCGTTTTTGCCGCGCTCGCGAATGGTCACGAATTGCAGCGCGACTGTCGTTAAGAATGCGCCATCGTGCGACGCATTGTCCGCCACAAAGCCGCCTACTTGTTAACGCCATCGACGGTGAGGGGGAAAGGCGGGAAAGAAAGCTAGCACGTGGCGAGGAATTCTGAATAATCAGCAAGAAGTCCGCTAACGAGTGCCGAGAGTACAAAGCCGGTTGCATTTGTGTTGACGAAATGGTCGTACAAGGATTTATGATCACCCGGCATTTTCACGGTTCTTATTTTACGGAGGAAAAAGGGAATAGGAAAAGTTGGTTTATCCCGCAACAGTTACATTTGATTTTTCGTTTTACACTTATACTCTGAGAAAAACCAAGACAGTTAGCAACCCATTTTGGGGCCCGCAATTAGTAATCGAATTATTTGGATTGTTCGTAACTCACTCTAATCTTTTACGAATTTTATCCCGCGTAACTAAAAATCGCAGTTAGTTATTTTATCTATGTCCAAGATTTTTAAATGATACTAATCAATTCTCTCAATTAGTTCTGTCGATATTCAGTAGCGCAAAGATAATTTTCACTTAAGAGGCACTAACCGAAATGTTAAGTTGCTTAACTACGAAGAAGACGGTCAAAATACTTCCCAAAGTAGAGTTACGAACAATCCAAATAATTCGATTACTAATTCTGGTCCCCAAAATTGGTTGCTAACTGTCTTCTTTTCCCAAGAGTAGGCAATATAAGGATATTGTATCGCGAGAAAGTGAAAGAATTATTTTAATGACACATTGTAACCGTATCACGCGACATTACTGCGTCCTCGTTAGCGTATCACGATTGTATTTAAAACGTGAATTCTAACAATGAATTTCTGATTTAGGTCACTCGGGTTCTAAATAAATGCTAGTTCGCTTTATGTTGACCGAA